CACACCAGACACATACCAATGACATCGTCATCTCCCTCTTCATCAATCACCATCTGCTCTTCATCACTGAGTGTCTCCTCGGACTCCTGCCTGCGCCTTGTTGAGGATTGAGCAAGCAGGGTTAAGGATTTATCTGCCAGCAGGTGCTTTGAAGATGATGAATTGTTGTCAGGCAACTTGCTTCTCTGCTGTTGACACAAACCAATCACAAATGCTAAGCATTTCCAATGACTAAGTTCATTTTACTGTGATGTTGATTCAACCATTTTACATTCTATACTATGCAATATACTATTCAGAAACACAATGGCTAGTTTCACAAAATTGTCTCACATAAGAATTAACTTGAAGACAAGCTGGCCTTCTTTGATCCATTCTTCTTAAAGGCATGTCTGCTTTTAATAAACATATCTTCAACAATTTACATTAAAACAATTGGACATCAATATTTCTCATTTCACAGCTATGTCAAAGTTGTTTTAGTCAAAAGAAGGTTTTATTTCATCCTGCACAAACAAACACATACATGTACTAAAATCCTGCATTTTTATATTTATAGCCTTAGCATATGCCTGACAAAACCTTCTTTCATTTTTCCGTCAACTTTTATCATTCTAAAGCCATTTTTCAACCCACTATTTTGAATGACCTTTACACAAAACTGTCCGTATTGTGGAAAGCAAGGTGACATCTTACAGGTTGTTGACAAGTTGCAACATGTGCTTCCTTTTGATCATGGCTTATGGCGTGAACATTGGATGCACTCAATGATCTCTTCTTGGGAGGCATGCATAATACTGGAATCTACATCACAAAACAAATATGGTTTCAATTCCAGTGTACAGTTAACATTTCAAGACAGAATAAACTGGTGTTATATTTTTTACTTAACCTTAAACTTGATCTCTTTCTCTGTGAACGTATCTGTTACTGTGGACTGTGCACAAACAGTAGTAGTGCTGGTAAATGTACTCATTAAAGCCAGCGTGTGTGGTACATCATGTGCATGTACTGGTCTTTGCATGTGCACTGTGTGGTGCACAGTTTCCTTGGGGACGCAAATGAAAATGGTTCACAAGTATCTGTAACTCTTTGCTGTTTTCACTCTGATAATTACAATTCTCCAGCAATGTCTTTGCCAGGAAGCCAAGTGCACAGTGCTAATACATTTCAAGTGTCTACCGCATTCTTTTTGCCGATTTCATAAAACAGGTGTTTTAGAACAGTGCGCCTCCAAGAGTTTGCAACATGTTGGCCAATCACAATGCACGAAATCTGTTGACCCAATGCATGTTCGAAAGGGTTGACAGATTCGCGCATTATAATTGGCCAACGCGTTGCAAACTCTTGGAGGCGCACTATTGTAAATAGCCCATATTAAATGAATGATTTGCTTGGTGGGAAATAACTAAGTGTATATAATACCACCTGGGCTCTGAGTGCAGATGACTGGCCTCTAACTAGTTATGATATCTATGGTATGTTTCCCCCCCCCCCAAACACAGTACAAAAATTGCCTCATGTGGAAAGTGATGTGTGAGTACTACACAATGTAGCATAGAACACAGCAATACCAATGTAGAATGAAAATGTATTAAGTAGGTGGAGGTGCTACATGTATGTGGTGTCAGGTGGGTGCAAATGCACCCACTGGAAAGCTGCTTGCAGCCACATTTCCACACACAAATATTTTGTCAAATATTACGATAGGACAATCAACCTTTTCATTTTACGACTCTGCATTATAACCCAGGAAAAATGAAGGATCATTTGCACCCACACAATTCTGCCTTGCCTCACACTTGCACCCACAGCCACTGAGGTCTGGCACCGCCACTGATCGACTATGCCTTTAGATTGTCAAGATTTCATATGAAACGAGGACAATATGTCCAAAACAAATGGAATTTCATATTAAAGGCATCAAAAAACCCAATATGATGGGCTCTTGACCAAATGGAATGGATAAACTGTCTGAGGTGTTTATAAATAGTAAGTACAAAGTTTTTCACCTGAGATGGTTTGGTTGGTTTGTGTCCATCTGACATTTTCTCAGAAGGTAGTCCTTGGTGCCCTTCCACACTGTGAGATGCAAACACTGGCATTCCTGTCACTGAGCTGCTTGCAAAATCTGTCATATTATTTTACACAACAACAAATGAGTTCAAATAAAAAAATCATACCTCTGCTACTTTCATCTATATGTAGCTGATAACTGTAAACTCCAGTAGGAGCAAAGGTGGTTTTAAAGACATAATAAGATATTACTTTCAAGCAAGACACACATAGCCAACACAATTAAAACAATTAAAAATGCACCAAGTCTATGCACATTGTACAATTCTCTGTGCATCTATGGACAGAGTCACTTGTCATTTTGATTAAATTTAGGACACTTTGGATGAAGAAAAAATATTAGAAAGAATTCAAGACAGAGGTGTAACAAACAATTTATTACATTTTATTGTTTTAATACCCTCAGGGCATATGGCACCCTCATTTTCCCCATCATGCTATGAGTCCTTCAATATTTAACCATCATATCCCATATCTCAGGAGTCAGTAATTGTTTACTGTTATTGTACCTTGAATACCTTCGGGTCATTGTACTTTGTTCTATTAATGCATTCCTAGCAATCAGTGGATGTAGTTGCCTCACGCTGCCTGTGACTTGGCACTACTGGGTGACTGAGAATGAGCTACAGTATTGCAGGTAGCATATTTGTACCAGCTTCCCATGATATTGGTAGCCAGAACTTGCTCTGGGAGGTGACAGACACTCTACCCTGACTGACCTGTATCAGTGCAGCTAGTTTCTCCCTCTGATGCATGTCGTTGCCTGGCCTCTGCCTTGTCACACAGCTCTGGAGGCACAACACTAGCAGACTTCTTTCTCTCTTTGTTGCACCACTTCCAATCGGGATGGGCTTTGAAATGAGCTTCCTTTACCTAACACCACCAAACACAAGGACAAATCAATGTAATGGAGACAAAGCAATAATTTCAAGATCCTCTGCTCTTGGAATAGAATTTCTTGGAAGTCAGTAATCTAACCAACAGCCTCCACACAGAGTGCATTAGAGCATGCAATACCCAATCATTATTATTACTTATTATTAATCATAAATTCTCGTAACGACACCAAGGATTCCTCAAAAGTGCCCTAGGCATTGTAGCTCGTAAGCCTGAAGAAACCTATAGAGAGGAGACAATGAGAAGCAGTTACAGTTTTAGAGGTAGGAGGAAAACTCCATGCAGAGGAATATGCTGGGTAAATCCCGCGGAATCAGGTAGGGACTGAAAACCCAATCCACATGTGGACCGGGCCAGGATTCAAACCCAGACCGCAGAGGTGGAAGACGAGGAAAAAACCACTAGCCAACCTGACTCCCCCTATCAACAAATACTGTACATTTAGTCAGCTAGATTGTGGAATATCACAAGATATTAAAGTATCCCCGGAACAGTCCTTGAAACGTCTTATTGCTCAACAAGGAAGTAGAGTACATAAAGACAACGGCTGACACAAAAAAGTTTCTGTTTTGATGAGAGTCTTATCATTTGTGACCTGTCACCACAGAATGAGCTGAAAGTAAGCATTTTCAAAAAGTGAGATATTGATTTTTTGTACTAGGCAGAAAAAGCTTTTTGGTGGCATGTAACATTTACGGTAAAAGTCTTCCCCGAAAGCAAAACAGCTTGGAGAAGTGAAAGCGTTCACACAAACATAGTACAAAAAATCAAGAGAAAACTGCATGTGAAGTTCTGCTGAGTAAACACAGTAACAAACAACAAAAAAATTCAAAACATAACAAAATCTGGAAAAGAAAACTCTGCTGAAAGCTCTTTGAGTACATAATTGTCAGTGGCACTGAGGCCCAAAATACAAGAGTACGAGTAACACAACAATCAAACATACAATGGCAATACTATAGTATAGCAATAGCAATACTGAATTCTCACTTCAGATACAAGAGGAGTCAACTACAGATGGAAGAACAAAGTTTTCTGTCAAACAAGTTTACAATGAATTCAAATAAATAAATGCTAAATGCTGTACTACGCATTTGACTAAAGCTGGCATACAATACCTACACTTTTACTCTAATGCTTTGAATCACTTTTATACATGAACTTTAGGTTCTACCTTAAAAAGATGGATTCCACTGCAGAATAATTCTGCTCATCCCTGTCCATTTTCTGCTGACGTAACAATTCACCGGCCCCAAATATAGACATGGTACAAACCTGAAAAGCTAGATCATGGTACTTCTGCTTCTCCTTAGGCCCCAGGGCATACCACCATTCTCCAAGGATTTTACTGACAGTACGATTGTCTTGATTGGGATGCCGTTGATGGACAAGAGCTCGATGGCGCTTACTGAATATCATGAAAGCATTCATGGGACGACGGACATGATCCTTATCTCGGATCTGTAAGACAAATCACTCATCATAAAAGACAAGCAAATAAAAGACAAGAAGTCTAAAGAGGTGAGTCACTATTTAAAGAGCCTGTGCTCATGTAAGACAATCAAATAAAAACCAAACATCAATCACAACAAAGTCGTCAAAACATCTTCAGTATAGTTTAGTGTTTTAGACTGAATTTAACTCTGAGGAGAGAGAGAACCCCCACATTAAAATTGCATGAGAGGATTTGGGATCAATAGGATTAAACATTATTTTAAAGAAAGAATTCAATTGCTAGATAAAGTACCAAGAAGACATATTTTAACAGAGTTGTGTGTTCCTTTGAGGAAAACAAAGTACAAATATTTGCTGCTACATGTATAGACTGGTTCTGGTTGCTTCATTTCCATCACGCGTTCTTTTGCATGTGCACGGTGCAGCGGGAACCAGAGCAGCTTTATGCAGTGAGCTTTGCACGCGTGTTTTCACCACTGCGACAGCGAACGTGAATGGGAACTGTTTGTGAAAATTGGAAATTAATAGTATTAATGTTATTAGCATTGTTTATACCAATATGACATTTCGGTGAACAAGTGGTAAGGTTTGTCTAAATTTGCAAAATACTAGCCAATTTTTCTCGCCAGGTCAATGGAATAATAGCCATAATTATAATTATTCGCCAATTGGCGAGAATGGCTAATGGCAGCTGGAACCCTGGATTAGGATTACTTTCTTGTACATTCGATTGGCATATTGACATATCATAATATTATCATTCTATTAAGTTTCTTAGGGTAGGAGTAACACTTTGAGTTGAGTTTTAGATTGCATGATTAGATAGCTGGATTAATGGCTCGATTCGATTTGAATATATAGAGAGCCTATTTGACTTTTCTAAATCAGTCAGTGGAACATAACTTACTTCAAATTAATTCATTACAAATTAACACTGCTGATTGGGCTAATAATTGTAAATAATCTTGTAAATATTAACCAATATCTGTAAATATTCAAGAAGAAAGTGTAAGTATCAAATAACTTGTAAATACATGTAACTTCAGAAAGATTCAGGGCATTGAAAGTGACATCAAACAGGCACTTTCACCTTCAAACTGAACCGAACCAAGCTGGTTGGTTTAGATGTTCAGCTTTAATATGGCATGGTATTGAAAGTGCACGGAATGCACGTAAGAAAGCTTGATGAAAAAGCAAACACCAAAAAAAAATGGATAATGAATTTTGTGCACTCACTGTGCTGTGAGTGCGCTTGGCACATGTGCATGTACAGTATATGTACAGGTACACGTACATGTACTGTACGGTACACGCATACATGTACATTACACCCAATACATGTTGTGAATGTACGGTGGCCATGCATCACGTGATGATTATAAAAAGCATGTTGTCAGATATATCAACTGAGAATATGCAAAGGAGGGCATTCCTGCTGCATGACACATCCAGTTTGTACTTATGTACACTGTATATCCAAATGACAATATGCATGCCAATCTCCAATAGCCATGCCCTTACGTTTCATATTGGGCCAATGATGTCATAAGTGGCAGTGCAGAATGTGATCATCATTGGATTTGTACTCGAAGGCAATGGCCGATCTTGCCAGGGTTGCATATTATGTAGTAATTTTGCCAGATCTCTTAGTTGTTTGCAAATCTCAAATAACACAATGGCGTTATCCACCGACTGAGAGAAAATTGCCCCTTTGGCCACTTGGGCACCTATTTTGCACGATAATTAATGGAGCCAATGCGTGCTGTCCTGGGAGAGAGTGCTGACTTGATACCCAGTTTCTTCTTCAAACATATCAAATGCTGTAGTTTGGTAATTGAAGCTGTTTTGTGAAAAATAACAAAAACACAATTCGTTCGAAATCTCTTTTGATCTGGTATCTTGTAAAGTAAGGAGCTCCCATTTGATCATGTTGTCTTTTTTCCCCACTTATCCTACAATCTTTTTGTCAAGTCAAGCATGGTCCAAATACAACCACTTCAGGTCTGCAAAACATGAACCAAAGTTTGGCGACAAATTCCACACTGTCTGAAGCAAACCCGATCAGAACTTTGGAGCTTACTTGCAGCATTACCTATGATATATTATTTGATTTCTCAACAAACCTTTCTTGGGCTCCTGGGCTCCTTGTCATGAGCATCTTTTGGTAGAGAACTCAGTGACTGAGAGCGTCGCTTGTTGGAAGGAGGACTCATGGCTGATGGACTGAATGGTGGGCTTGAAACTCTACAATAGCAAACACACAATATACAATTAATATCATGCAAAATTCTAAGTTGAATATACTTGGTGCCAACTGTCGCATAATTTTTTCAAATGTAATACTTCCAAGCTGAATTTGAATGGCTCCTTTTAGGGTTAAACAAGCCAATCTTTTCCTTTGGCATCTATTCTTCCTTAGTCTTCACTCATCAGGACAACTTTGATCCCTGGGTGAGTAAGTTATGTGGCATCAACATTATGATCTCTGCAGACTTCATTTGACTGTCACTGACCTGGGCTAAATAAAAACACCTCACAATAATTCCAAACCTGAAACACAATAAGTTTGAATTCTAATACTGAACTTACATCTCTTTATTGAGCTGAATAGGTTGTGGCTTATTGTTGGTGGACTGCTGAGTATGAATACCACTGGGTCCTGGCTTGGCTGCTATCACAATAGAACCTGTAAGTACATGTACATGGATACTGGATCACATCATGCCAAACCCTACCAGATTCTTCCAATTTCACTGAGGGAATTAAAGAAATTTGCAGGATTGACAGTGGTCTTCATGTTAGTCATTGTTTATTGTTTCTCCCCATGTACATATGACACATGCAGCTAAACTCACGGCACCAAAAAAGTAAAATCCAGAACACTTGCTTTCGAGAATGCTAAATGTCAAGGGATAATAAGTAGCACAAGTATGCATACCACTACACAGGAGTATTGTGCAGAACAATGTTCATGCCAAACAACGGCTACATGTACATGCATTATTTGGCATGCACTGGGTTTATCCACAATGAACACAGGGCGAGGATCCCCCCTCGTTTTCTCTTTTTTCTCAGACTTCTTCAGACTTCGCTTTTTGGCATGAACAGAAATAAAACCCTTTTAACCACTACCAGCCGGGGAC